ATGGAAATGTTCTAAAAACATAGACAACTAAGTACCCACAAAGAAAAAATAAATTTGCCATGCAAAATCATTGTTTGCTGCCTCAAAGAAAGTCTGAAGATAAAAGATATTAGCTAAAAAGTATGTTTTACTTATTTAACAATATATCATGGATAATCTGCCATGTCAACACAAGTGGATTCAGTGCATTATCTTTAATAGCTGGATCATATTCCACAGAGTGAATATGCCTTAACTATTTCACACATTTCCCTACTGACAGGTATTCAGGTTGTTTCCAGTATTTTTCCACTTATAAATAATGCTGCATAAATATTTTCATATGTGTGTTATTTATTGATAATTTATAATGCAGTGTTTTTAAAGTTTAATTACTTTTTACTTACCAACTAAACATATTGTATAAATCCTTCTTTGGATTGATAGCATCTTATAGGTCCTTGATTCATTTTGCTTTACTATAAATAAATTCACATATACAAATATACATACACAGAAGCATGCATACAGTATGTAGGTCCATGGGAAGCTTTTGCAGTCCTTATAATTTACCCCCGCCTGCACACCCACCTCAGGGCACACCATGCCCCATGACTAATTCTTCTCACTCCCTACCTTCCACATGATCATGCCTTTGCTGTGTCCCTCTCAGTACTTCCCTTAGTAAAATTTGTTTTGAGGTTTAGCTCAAATTCATCTTCTCCTGAGAGGTTTTTCTAATCTCTCCGACCTTTAAGCAGGAAATCCCCCTCCTATTTTGTGATCCCACAGTGATTCTTCGTTTCTCCATTGTAGCCCTTTCTCAGTCTACTTCATGTGAGAGTTTGCAGCATGCACAGCTGCATCCTCCGTTAGATTATCAGTCTCTCGGCAGCAGGCACCATCTTGGTTGAATGCAATGCCTGCATGTAGGAAAAGCTCCAAAAATGTTGATTGGACTTGGACAATTTGTCTAAAAATAAAAGACAGTCAGAGCCCAATATTTGCCTTTCAAGCCCTACTATAACTAAATGCAGTTATCAAGGCAATTTTGGGGAAAGATAGCAGTGTAAAACAGTCCCATGTGGTGTGTACATTCTGGCCTAGGGACCTTTTCCTTTCCTTCTAGAACGGGTCAGAAATGTTTTCTGTACAGGGCAGATTAAGTATGTTAGACCCTGCTGGCAATAAGATCTCTGCTGCAGTTAGCAATTGAAAGCCTTCGTGGACAGTGAGTAAACGGATGAGCATGGCTGTGCTCTAGTCAAACTCCACTTACTAAACAGGCAGTGGCCAGGATCCTTCTGTGGGCTGTCATTTGCCAACTCCTGCTCTAGAAGGTGTCTAGCTACAGTTAAACTGAATTAAATTCAAATTCTAGCTCTTCTTTTTGGACTCTTCTGCTTACTATGTGACTTTGGGCCAGCCACTTACTCTCCATTTTCAACACATAAACATAAGATCCATAGTACCTCCTACAGGTTAGGCCTCTGGTTCAGGGCCTGGCATTTGAACACAGAAATGGTAGCCACTAACTGTGGTAAAAAAAGAAGGAACTCCTACCATTCGCAACAGCATGGATGGAGCTGGAGAGCATTATGCTAAGCGAAATAAGCCAGTCAGAGAAAGAAAAATATCACATGATCTCACTCATTTGTGGAATATAATGAACAACATAAACTGATGAACAAAAACAGATCCAGAGACAGAGAAGCATTGATCAGACCATCAAACCTCAGAGAGAAGACCGGGCGGGGGCGGTGAGGCGGAGGAGGTTAAGGGGGAGAGATCAACCAAAGGACTTGTATGCATGCATATAAGCCTAATCAATGGGCACAGGCAGCAGGGGGGTGAGGGCATGAGTGGGGGTGTGGGTGGGGAGGCAATGGGGGCATAAGGACATATATTTAATACCTTAATCAATAAAGAAAAAAATAAAAAATAAATTAAAAACTGGAAAAAAAAAAAGTAATGGTAGCATAGAAAGAGTGTCAGAGAACATGCAGTTTCCTTTTTCAACTGAAAGTAGAAAAATCCTAAAGAAAAGGCGAGAGGAAAAGCAATGGATATCAGAGATTATTGGATGACGGTGGCAGGTCCCACAACAGAAGCAGTAATCCTCCAAGTCAGTGGTCAGCAAACTCATTAGTCAACAGAGCCAAATATCAACAGTACAACGATGGAACTTTCTTTTGAGAGCCAAATTTTTTAAACTTAAACTATATAGGTAGGTACATTGTTATTAATTTAATTAGGGTACTCCTAAGGGTTAGGAAGAGCCACACTCAAGGGGTCAAAGAGCCTCAGTTTGCCGACCACGACTCTAAGTCATATACACTCCTTTATGAGAATGAGTCAGGACAGACAGACAAGTAGCTTGACTTGCTGCAGCAATGGCAGTACTCTTAGTAAAGATTTTGAAGATTGTTTAGAGTGCTTGGAGCTCTGATAACTATATAAAATGTACAAGCCAGGCTTTAAGAATTATTGGTGAAATGCTAATATGTGCAAATTGCAATGGTATTACCTTTTTAGCTAAAATACAAACAAATATGAATCTCTGGCACCTTACTAGCCTAATCATCTGCAAGCATAAAACTGGCAGTGTGCAATAGGCTCTTTTATGATGCGACACTTCAGTACCTTTCCCACCGCCATCAGGATGAGCGCAAACACTTGAGAACAGCATGCAGGGCTCTCCACAGCTTGGCTCCAGCTTATTCTTTCAGCCTCGCTTTTGATCTTCTCTTTCCTCGCACAGCACAGATGCTTCATCCAAGTAAGTTGATTAGCTTATTCCCGTCCCAGAACACTTCTCCCTCCCATCTTGCTTATGCCCATTCTATTCCAGTCTAATTCCCTAGACCTTTGCAAGCCCATCAGTCATCCACACTCCCACTCATCAGGACCAGCCACTAGCTGAGTCCTCTGCAGAACAATCCGACTGGCCGAGTGCCAAGTAGCATCCTCACTCCAGCTGCCAGGGCATTATTATTATTCTCTCTCCTTTTCTTTTGGGCCACGTGTGGCATCTCAAAGCCTTCTGCAAATGCTCAGTACACCCTAGTGGAAGATGTTGTGTACCCTGAAGGAAACTGGATTTGGAGTTTGAAGGCTTGAATTTATGTCCTGGCTCCACCATCATCTCACTGTGTGCCCCAGATGGGCAAGTGGTTTAATATCTCTAAGCCTCAGTTTCTTTATTAATAACAAGGGTCCTAACCTACCTGTGGAGTTTTTGTGAGAATGAAATGAGGTTCAATGACATCTAGAGTCCTTGGAAGTACCTCTCTCCCTCAGGAAATGTAACCGAATCTGAACTGTTTACAGGATTTGCCTTGGTGTATCTCCCTAGTGATGTAATAATTTTGAAAGGAAACTATGACAAAACGTATTTGCGATTAATTGTAGTACCTGCTATGTTTATAAAAAGCCACTCAATAAATTTAGTGGATTTATTTTTACATTGTTTTTTAAAGCCCCATCAAATTTATGTAAGGCATCTGAGCTTCCCAGGAGAATCTTACTACTCTGCACCTATGTTGTGCCTTCAGCATTCCATGTTGACTCGCTCTCTCCGCCAGATGCTCGCTGCTCACGTTCAGGCCCTCTTTCTATAATTTATATTCTTCCCTATAAGAATGCAAACAAACAAATCCTGGTGATATGTATAGAGAAAAATAATGAAATTGTACACATTGAATTAATGAAAATATTCCACACATTTTATGCATGTCCACGATGCATAAGAGTTTGTATACTTTTTTATAATATTTTTTTCACTTAATTGTTCAGAGCAGTTAGTGAAATTGTACTGTACCCATTTTGCAGATTGGGAAGCTGAGACCTTTAAAGTTTAAATATGCACCCGAGTCACAAGCTTAGGACACGGTGCTAAACCATGCAGCTAGGTTTTCCTACACTAAGGGTACTGGTCTCTGCATAGCACCACAGGTGGCTAACTACCTGGAGTTAGTGTGCTCCACAGTAGCTATGTAGGGCCTCCTTTCAAGGTCCAAAAATAGGATTTCAGTATTTCAGTAGAAATTCTTTCTCAGTTTCTTGGTGTGTGTTTTTATGGGGGGGGGGGGGGGAACAGCCTTAATTGTTTTAAAAAAAAACAAAACACCTCACTTATAAGTTGAATGTATTTCTACCATGACATACATATTTATAGAACCTATAGATAAAATTACCTCAATTATTGTACAATTCACTTATCTTCTATGTAAGGTTTGAGTAACTGAATGAGATTCCTCATTTAAATCAGAAATTGAAACAGTGTTTGCATGCCTACTTCAAAGGCGTATTCCTGAGGATAAAATGAGAGAGCTGCTATCCAAGTGCAATTACAAAATATATTTGCAAAGCAAGTTATTATCACTTTCATTAAAATCACAAATATTACAGATGAATTGATCAACTACCTCAAGTTATGTCTACCTAAAATTAATTATTAGGTAATTAGCAACACTGGAAAAGTTTCATTTTACCTGGTAGAAACTACCACACTCTGAGCCTCAAATTTTTATAAAGTTCCATTCGAGTTACAAAATTAGTCCTTTCAGCATACTGGAACATTTAAAAGTTAATTAATTCTCTGACATTCAGCAATATGGGCAAATTACTTTATACAGTTATTCAGGCACAATGTATATAATCTTCTGATTAAAATAAGAGCTAGAATAATCAGTAGCAATTATTATTTGCCCACCTACTCTCCCTAGTAGCTCCTTCTCAGAATCTGAAGAGATTATTCTCCAGAAAGTTTTAAAAACATTTGGCAATAATGGAGGAGGGGAGACCTTTAAGTCTTCATGTCAAAGTTAGAGTTCCTTAACAAAAATGTATTTTTTAAATATTAAATTGAAAAAAATTCTGACAAAGTTTCTGTGGAGGAAAATACCTACTAGTTCTCTATTGCTTACCCTGTGGCTTCTATTTAAATGTGTGCTGCTGTCATGAGTTATTCCTACCTCACAGGATAATGAATCCAGGTTTTATTTCTGTTCTTTGTACAGACATGTTCAGCAGGCAAAGTGTTTGAAAATCAAAGAAAAAGAAGATAATGACTTGGATAATCTCTTCAGAGGTAAAACACTAGCAAAACCACAGAGTATAATTTTTGTTGTGAAGATGTCTTGCTTGTTTGGTTGGTTGGTTTTAACATTCTGCCAGGGAATGGTGGGGAGAACTGCCTGGAAGTCAAGAGTCTTGTAGTCTAGTCCCAACCGTATGAGTAATAATTTCTGTTATTCACTGCTCTGAATGTTAATTTTCTCATTTTTAAAGTGAAAGGACTAGACTGTGATTTCTTTGGTACTCACTCATGATAGGACAAATCTAAGCTTTTGGAAGTAAAAGCCTCAGTGGTAGAATATTTTTCTGCCATCTGCAGAGGGCATGGAGGGAAACCAGAAGTGGCTCAGTGCACTTTTATAAGTTGGTGGAACCTGGAAATGTACCTCATTAGTAAGACAGGCAAGAATGTTATTGGGGGGAAAAGTTTAATTATTTAAATCTGAGTATAGGAAAAAGAACTACATGTTTTCATTTAATTATGTTTCTTGCCAATTAAGGTGAAATCTCATGTATAATTTTGAGGTTCTATTGTAGCAAGCTAAGGAATAAATTATCCCGTGTTTGCATTAATTTAGTGCAATACTTTTCACTTGGTCAGATTGAAGCATATGTAATTAATTAGTATCATGTCTTTAGCCATAGTACTTCCTTATGTTTGTATCTCCCAAAACATGGTAGGAGATCTGTTTATCTTTTAGAAAAAGATAGTGAGTTTTCTTCTGACTTGGCCAAAAATGCAACAAATTAGCCCAATTTGGTAACACTGCACTTCATCTCCAATGCAATCACCTGTTCTACTTTTCTTAGAGAAACACAGTGTGCTTGGCAGTCATTGAACAAAAGGGCTGTGACTTCTATGAGCAGAGTTCACCTGCTCATTTCAGGGAGGACCCAAGCTCAGCTTGTGGTTGGGAACTCAGCCACAGAGGAGGGAGGAATCTTCTCAGAAAATGGAGGGCAGTGAAGTTACTCCGGTTTCCTTGTGCACCTACACATTTCTCCATAACCAAAGGGATTTCTATGTGACATAACTGGTTCTGAACAGCGCTTTACAGAAAATAAAATAAATAATTGATACTTCAGAAACTGCCTCATACAAATGTTCTAATCTATTCTGTAAACATGTTTTGGAATGGCACATGGAGCCCTAAAAAAGTGTTAGTGTGTTAATTTATATTTTGACACTTTTGAAAACATCTCCACAGAGTAATTATGTATATGTTCCTGTTAAAACAGATACACAATTTTGTAGTTCACATAGTAAAAGTAGTAATGAGGAGCATCTTTGTAAAAATAGAAAAGATCACTAGCAAAATGCATTTGCATAATGGGAAAGATGTTTAGTATGCACTTGTTCTTTTCTGCATCATTTAAACCATATGCGTTTATTTATTCGTGCTTCCACTGTGTTCTTTAAACATTTTGATGTCCTCATGGTGAAGGTCTATGATCACAGATTTGGGGCAATAATGATATAGGAGGTGCAGGAATGCACCCTGCCTGATGCAGAGCCCACAGCTAGCTACTGGGATCCATAACCCTCTCTTGTTGAGAAAATGCGTTCTGGGATCCATTCTAGTCCATGAAAATGAACGGGACTTATTTAGCACCTGCTTTCTATTCTAGCCTTTTGTCACACAAACTGGTTCTTCCTTATAGTAGACTAATCCTCATTATTTTATAAGGTCATTTTCTCTGGTTCGTAGCTGCATGGGACAAAATAATGAGAATCTGTTACTGTTGTGATATTAAATTATTATTTAATATTTTCTTTTTCTTTTTTTAATTCTATAAATCTGAGCATAATTTCTAAATCTTTGCCTTTGTTTTGTGTGTTTTTGTTTTTTGATCTGGCCATTGATTTGAATATATTTTTGTTGTTGTTATTATTGTTGTTGTTTTAAGGAAAATGGGCTAAAATTTGTTATCTATTTTTCCCATGAGGGAAAATAGTATAACTTTGATTTTTAGAGATTGTGTACACATGTGTACACAACATAGGTAGATTATGTTTTTCATATATTGGGTATGTTTTCAATTTTTACTTGGAAACATCTTTATTGTCTAAATAGTTTTATTCCGATATAATAAAAATGTTTTTTAAATGCTACCCATTATTTTTAAGTATTTTAAAAATATACTTTGTGAGATTCAACATTTTTTTTCTCATAACATATTCATGTTAAACTAGGTGACAGAAAGCTTTAATTAATCTATAAGTAAAACTAATCTAAAAAAGTGAAACTAGGTGACAGAAAGTTTTAATTAATCTGTAAGTAAAACTAATCTAAAAAAGTGAAACTAGGTGACAGAAAGTTTTAATTAATCTGTATATACAAAAGCCTAAGCGACCGAACAACTGACCAACCAAATGACTGGTCAGCCAGTCACTATGACTCGGCACAGATCACCAGGGGGCAGACGCTCAATGCAAGAGCTGCCCCCTGGTTGTCAGTGCACTCCCACAGCCCACCTCCAGCAGCCGGCCAACCTCACACGGTCCCTCCCACTGGCCAACCGGCCCCAGTGACCCCAATCGGGACTACCAGCCAACCTCCCATGGCCCCTCCCCCCACTGGCCAACCTGTTCAGCTCAGATTGCCGGCCAGGCTGAGGGACCCCACCTGTGCATGAATTTGTGCATCTGGCCTCTAGTTTATAAAATAAATTGGTTGAGAAAAATGATTATCTAAAAAGCCGTTTAGTAGTAAAATTAGCACAAGTAAGTTGGAGTGTGTCTAACTAGAGTTTTGCAGACAAGCTTATTGAGTGTCACGCCTAAGACATGGCAAATGGTAGTTATCCTTTGTGCCTTTTGTTAAGTAAATAGTGCATGAACAAGTGGTTGACATGGGTGACTATACCACACGACCCTTCTCTGGGATTGAGTTGGGTATCTGTGCACTGGCCTTTGGGGTTTTTACCTTTGCTTGATGAGTGTTCCACAGGGACCTGCACAGAATTTCCTTTGAACATAAGTTGAGTGAGGCTAATGAAAGTGCATTGACATTGCATGTAAAGGACCTGTTCACCTTTTGTCCCTGAGAGAACTCTAGAACTAGAGCAGCTAAGACTCAGCTACTTAGTACCACAGACAATATGCTGTCAAGGGCACCATACTGTGCCACTCCAGGGGACACATTTGGAAGTGTGGAATGTTTAACTAGAAAACTGTTTCTTTATTACTTCTGGTTATTTTTGGACTCAAATGTGTAACTAATTGCTAACTTCCTTAAAAATCCAAAAATTTCATAAAGCAAAAATGCAATTATAGATTTATTTTGGATATAATAGTTTACCTGTTTATTTTTTCTACCAGTATACAATTATATTATATTAGAGATCTAGAGTTCATTTTATTTTTCTACTCGCTATAGCATATTATGATTACCTCTCTAAGTCGGTGTATATACAGTGCTAGATTCTTTTCTTTTAAGTGAAAATTGTAATCAAGTACACAAGAGGTCACACCCATTTAATCACCACTTGGGTCATGAAATAGAAGCTAACTCGAGTCCCACCTCATGCCATGCACTTTCCCGCTTCTGCCAGGAAACTCATTCTCCTGATTTCTGTCACTATCAGCATTTACTTTGTCCTTGTTCTGAACATTTGATAAATGAAACCATACAGTATGTACCCTTTTGTGTCTGACTTCTTTTGCTAACATTATGTATGATCCATCCTAATCATGGTTTGCTTATTCTCATTATTGCATTTCCAGTATTGTTATCCCTCCTACTTTATACTTCTTTCTCAAGATTGCTGTGGCTATTTGGGGTCTTTCTTGGTTCCATATAAATTTTTGGAGTATTTTTTCTAGTATTTGTGAAATATGTCCTTGTTATTTCATAGGGATTGCATTGAGTCCATAGATTGCTTTGGGTAGCTTTTCTTTCTGAGAGTTCATTATTGGCTCTGTGCAGGCTTCTTCCAGACATTGTTTGTTCATGAGAATTATCACAGTTAAAAGCAGATTGTTGGTCATGATTCTGACATGGGAAGAGTTTGTAAGTCATCACTCCCATCTCACAACAGAAAAAAATGCTGAACAAAATGAGCAACAACTCTTCTTGGATACATCAGAGAACTGAGGTCCTGCCCTCAAGGTAAACTGCTTTCCCAGGGGCATGCATCCTAGGGGAATGGCAGAGAGCTCTAGTTCCCTCTAGCCATATGTCTTACACTAGGGAAGGAAGGAAAAAAACGCCAAGAAACTCTTCAGAAGGTCACAGCCTCGAGACTCAGGCCCTTTAAAAAACAAACTGGTTTTAATCATAAAACTCTAAAACACTCCCCTCACCAATACCTTGACCTCCACATCAGTAGGGCTCCAGTATCATATTGAAAGAGAGGCAAGGCTCTATTTAAGAAGGAGTTTCTAAGGGCTTTCTTTAAGAAACCCCAGCACAACAGGGGAAAGTAAGAGTACACTAGAGGAAACTGAAGCCCTGACAGCTGCAGGCATCATACATTTGTCAGAACTCCTAGAACAATATAACACAGAGACCAAGTCCTACTGTCAGCTATAGACTTTAGTTCCTCATAATAATGTGTCAATACTGGTTTATAATTTGTGACAAATGAACCATAGTAATGCAAGATATTAGTCAGGGAAACTGTTGGGGAGGTTGGGGAGTAGAGTGAGGGGATATGTGGGAACCCTTCACACTATCTGCTCAATTCTTCTATAAACCTAAAACTGCCCTAAAAAATAAAACAGTAATTTTTTAAAGCATCTTTGTAGTGACTCAGCAGTATTTGGTATGGTAATGTGGGCCATGTAGAGGGACAGGGACAAACTGGAGTTCTTGGGAAGATGAAGGAAATGATTTGCATTGGGCTAAAAGATGAGTCTAAGGGCAGGAACTTGATACCCACAATTAACTCAAGGAGGATATTCTGACAATTAAGCAAGAGGAGACTGATGACATAATGAGAGTTCATAATGAATATCCTCAGTTGTAGTCTAGAATAATGTCAACAGCTATGCTAACATCTGTACTGCTGTAAGACAACCAAGTGACATGCCGGTTCTTATTGACGATAGAGATGGCATCTATTCATACAATACCGTCGTGCAGGCACTCGGCTATTTTCTTTAGGTATCAGTTAAAATATTAATAATAAGGGTTTTTAAGGTAGAATGGAATATAATAAACATTTCTCGTTAAACAAAAAAAGGAACAGGGAACTGTATATCAAGTTAGAGACCAGCTGCAATTAGGGGTGTCGAGTTATAAATTGTGGA